TATTCTTGGCATATGGTAAGAATTTAGTAAAAGATTTTTAATTAAGTAAACAGTATCCAGAAGTGAGTTACATAGAGGATACAGCTAATGAAAGCCCCAGGGCTACGTAGCTCAAGCTGGCCTTGAACTCAACTATGTAGCCCAGGCTGGCCTCTAACTCTCAGTGATCCCCCTGCCTCAGCTTCTCAAGTACTGGGATTACAAATGTGCACCACCATGACCAGCTTTGTCTGTGTCCTAATCCTCACTGAGGCAGTTGGGTTTGGAACCACAGGACACAATGCAACATTTTTCCCTATTAAATCTTTCTTGTTGGAAACAGCCTTTCCAGATCTTTTTGGCCAGCTCAGTTAATAAACCAAATCATGCTCGTGACCCCAGATCGAGGTCCTAGATAAGTTCCTCATCATTCCTCCAAAGGGGTGTGCAAACTGGTCAGGTGGAGCACCACACCAGCTGACTGGCTCATCTAAGCTGCACAATGTCAGCTCTGCAAGCTCCAGGGCTGAAGAGCCCTGCAGCCAGGCTGTATGTGAAGGCACTGAGTTGAGGAACCCCAGTTTTCTGTACCAGACACCACCTCAATCCCAGGTAGTTTGGCCAAGAAATTTCCTGAAAGCCTAAGATCCTGAGCTTGCTTGAAGAAGGATGGAAAGTCCACTGTAGACTCAGAAGCACAGCATCTCATGAGACCCATTGGAGTACATGCAGCAGTGTGAACACAACTTTCCAGGTGAGAAATCCACAGGGAAACAAGGTTAGGCTATCTGCATATGGAACTAAGTCCTCTGCCATGCTCAGGTCTCAGGCTTAAGCAAGACAACTTTCCAGCCTTATTAATCTTCATCAATTCTAACTCAGGATAAATTCTCCTCCCTCCAAAATCAGGATATCATCCCACCTCTAGATTTAGCAAGCAGTCAACATCATCGAACAACAGCAAAAGAATAGTATGACTACTTATTGAGTCCCTATTATGTTACACCATTTCAAGCACTTTGCTTATATTATCTGGCATTATTGTACAATGTAAGAAGGTGCTGTGGTTCTTCCCCTTTTCTGTACAAGGAAACTGAGGCTCAGATCAGGGAAAGTATATGACTCATCCAAGCCCACATTTCTAGCAAATGTCAAACTTGGATTAAGTGGGTTCACTTCTGTCCAAAACTAAAAGCCATATGGTCACCACAAGGTACAGTGCAGAGCAGTCAGCATATGTGTCCAAAAGAAGGAGGAGGAGGAAGAGAAGGAGAAGGAGGAGAGGAAGAAGAATCCATGTGCAGAGCATAATCCACAGTGACCTCTTGCCTTGCAGGGAACCAAACATGGGCACCCACACCATTTGCCTGCTTCTCTCCAGGAAGAAACAAAGACCAACATCACAGGTTCAGAGGGAAAAGACAACCCTGGAAATAGCCCCCACTGCCTGAACTGCCTTCCGATGGGAACTGGGTACTTGGGAAGGTTCTGAACAAAGCCTTGAAATTTCTGAGAATGACTGTGCCCTCCCACAGCTTGTCATCCTAGCAGCTGGTCTTCCAGAAGATGTTCAGACAGGCTGCTCTTTTCCAGTAATTCATTCAGAAATATCAGCCCGGGGCCTAAACAATTGGCACCTTGATCATTTCAAAACATCTTCCAGTCTGGGCCAGCACAAATAGTCAGACTTAGAGAGTTTCTGTTAATATTGGTATCAGGAGAGCACATAGGCCAGGCACTGATAAATAACAGGTAGTAAGACCTGGCTTGGGTGTAGCTCTAAGCCAGGGCAGTGGAGACAAATTAATTTGAGGAGTCATCTAAGCTCATGTCCCTCTCTATTAGCGAACTTGAGGTTCAGAGAGGGAGTGTGTGATGCCTGAGATCACAATGGCTGAGCTGAGATTCAAACTCTTCTTTGGACTACTTTCAGGATTACAGGAATTCCAGGCCACCAACTTGTCCATCTCTGAGACTGACTTCAGAATTACTGAATGAGAACTGATTCACAAGGAATAGCCAGGAGGGCTCTGTAGAGATCAAGCCAACTAACCATCTCTTAGTAAGTTAGAAAAGGAGCTTCTTCATACTCTGAGAATGAGGGCTACACAGCTCCCCTATGATAATTGTGGACATGCTAACCAGAAATGGAAATTCACCAAGATAGCATCCTTACCCTTTAGCCTTGCATTCAAAGCCTATAGAGTGCAGCCTCAATGTGCCTCTCCACCCTTATCTTTCCTGTCTTGCCCTTCAGCCACCTGCACGCCTATTCTGAGATGACTCTTCAAAAACTCTTGGCCTCAACACATTGCTGGAATACTGGCTCCCCTCCCAAGGCTGCCATGCTCTTCCAGTCTACAGCAGCTGAACTATAATTGCACCAACTTCTCTGCAGTGTTTCCTAAGCCCCGCCCCCTCACACCTTTACAGCACTTGTCACCTCTCCCTTCCATTTCATACATCATCCTAATGATGCTAATGAAAACAATAGCCAGTGTTCCTAAGCCGTACTCCATACCAGGCTTACCATGGGCATGAATATATTTAGTTCTCAACCTTGATCTGAATTGACGCATCATTATTTCCATTTGACAGATGAGGAAACTGAGGCTTAAGGAGCTGCCCAATGGAATACAGCAAGAAACTGGAACACAGAATTCCACAGACAAGACTCCTAACATCTAGGCTGCCAGGTACCCTACACACATGCTGCTTTACTTCACTAATTACCATTGTGTTTCTATTGTGCTTTCTGAATACAACAGTAAGACCGTTTCATTAATCTAGTTAGTCCATAGAGTTTATTAGGCATCTTCTACCACATTCCTAGGAACCAGGCCTTATCTTAGGCATTAGAAATATAGGGATGGAAAAGATAGAGTCTCTGCCTTCAATGTGACCCAGTCTGTTTGGTAGAGACACACAAAGAGACAAAGTACTGAACAAGTAAGGATGAGCCATTACTAAACCAGCAAGCCTAGGAGAGGGAGTCAACCTCACCTAAAAATTGGAATTTGTGACCAATTTGCTCCATTTTGTTCCCTAAGCACCAGTCTCTCCCATACACATCAAGTGTTCTACTGCTCTAGTGGCAATGGCCAAGTGAACAGAGTGTCAATGAAAGCCCTAGAATATCTATCTAGCTCATGTGTCAAATTGGCCATCTGGGGTGCTTTTAGTTTCAACAAACAGATATCACAATGGAAAGGACTTATCCCAGCATGACAATGAGGACCTTTGCTGATTAAAGCTCCTGGCAGGCTGAAGTATTGGTTCATACATCTAGCTGACCCCTACAGAGCTGAGCATTATGCCTCACACTGAGCAGACCCAGATAGATATTGCTGATTAATGATAGACACTTCAGCTGTCCAGGGACAAGCAGTCTTGGACACAGTCACTGAGGACATCCTGGGTGGTGTGTCCTAAGGTTTCTCAATCTGTCTTTCATTCATTATCTTCCTGCCTGATAAAAATATAGAGAATTTGCATTTTCTCCTTCTTTAAGCACCAAGGGGCAGAATGCACAAATCTCCCCTAGAAACTTCTGAGAAGATATGGCCCTCAAATGTGGAAACGTTTCACCTCTGGATTCTATTTCTCTTTTCTCTACCCTTAACCATCCTAAAGCCAGACACAAGTGTTGAATATCAACAGCTCCCAAGGATCAGATCCTGAGCCCCAACTTCTCCTGACGTTCAGGACTGCTGTCCCAGATACTTTGTCTTGCACCATCTGACAATTGCAGATTTATCTCAGGAGGTGCCAGAGGAGATCATGGACATAAACTCTCATCTCCCAACTTCAGCCTAGGGTTAGCTCCCTCAGGAGGAGAGCTAAATATTTCTGTATACAATGTCCTCTGCTCAGAGCCACCTACTCTGTCCACCCCCTCTTTGACCATTCCAAAGCAAATGTACAGAGTACACATGAACGCAAAGCCATGTGGCACAAGGCCATCAGCTTTCCCTTTACTTAGCTCCAAACTCTCACCCTCTCTACCACTGATCTCTCTCGAGTCCTGAGACTCAATCACCACTGCCAGGCAGGATGGCCCAGTGAAGACAGAGGTTTCCAGAACTGGGTCAGTTTCTTCCTCTGGAAGGTCTTTCACTGGGCTCTCTGCAGGGGAATCCTGAACTCATCCTAGCAAAAGTAGCAGGACTGGGGTGATTTGGGCACTTCGGGAGCCACGTCCCTCAGGAAGGATCTAGAGACTTAGGGAGGAGCATCTGACTTCTGAGCTGCTTCCCTGCAGATCTGCCTGATTCTGCCCACTGGGGCTTAGGTGACCTTGAGGCTCTTCTTCCAGTTTAGGTGGATAATCTGACCACCCAACGGGGGTACTTCTCCACTGTATCCTCCAGACCCTTCTCACACTTCACCCTGCAATATGGCCAGAGGCTTCACCCTTTCCCCCAAGCCTTCTGCCCCAAGGATCAGGCCAGTTCTTGGCATCTACCGACCCAATCCCACCTAGGCTGTGTATGCTGACCCCTGCGCCAAAACTTCTGCCCCTTTGAGAATGGCATTCTCTCCAACACTGGCTTCTCTTACTGTGTGTCTGTGTCCCCAAGGGCCTCTCCAGGTAACTTCAGGGAACCCAAGTCCTCTGTCATCTCCTGGCTCAGGGTCCCTGCTCCCAGGTTCAGAGTGCTGGATTTAGGGTCACCTTGCCTCTGGTTGTCACATCCTCTACACTTCAAGAGCTCTTTAAATCTCTATCACCATTGCTGGGGACCATCAAAGATCAGAATTCCTCAAAGGACTAGGTGCCCCAGATTCTATCCTTCCACCCATGCACCTATCCCTGTCCAAGGTCCTGTCTCGATTTCTCTCTTCACTGAGAACTCCTATTTTGTTTTGTTTTCCCCTGAGTTCTGTTTGGTTCCATCAGCGCTCCAGTCTTGCCCATTGCCCCCTTGTTCTCCCGTGAGTGTCCTTGCTCCCCTCCCACCCCTACACTATCTGACAGGTGGCCTCCCAAGTCCAAAGCCACATCCTGACCCCACACTCACCGCCACCGTTCTTGTAGCAGAGGTAGGGGAAGCGCCACACGTTGGCCAGGTCCACGGCAAAGCCGACCACGGACAGCAGAAAGTCGATCTTCTTGCCCCAGGTCTCCCGAGGCTGCGCGTCCCCGTCTTGGGGAGCCAGGAGACACTGGACGCCGTTGCGCTCCTTTACCACCAGCAGCTCCGCAGGTTTGCACCCCCGCAAGGGTTGCGAGGACTCCGGGTCTGCTCCGCTGTTCTCGGGCTGCACCTGCGAGCTCATCCGCGCCAGGAGAATGGGTGCGGCCGGCGAGAGGGACTTCATGGGTACTGGGCGGGGCACGTCGAAGCTCTGCTCGTATAAAAGGAAAAGAGTTTCTCACCGGGGGCTCCTGCCTGCCCACGCCAACCTTGACCACCCAGGAGCACCGAGGGCATCGGGATCCGTGCGCGCCGAGCACTCTGTTAACCAGAAACGGGGGGCGTCTTTGGGGAAAATGTAGAAACAGAGGTTGTGACGCGAAGGACTGGGACAGGAGTGGAAGTTGGGGACCGCCCCTGAGCGCCATGGGGGCCGAAGACCCCGCGGCGTTCTCTGTAGTTCACCATCCCTCTGCAGCCCCTAGACGTCTGGGTTCGGGCTCCCGAAGCTGAAGTTTCCCAGAACAGTGACAGGACCCAGTACCGCCAGCTTGCTGCCAGGCTTCCTGGCTCCGGGTTGCGCCACCTCCGACAGTGGACAGCCAGACACTCACAACTCTACGCTTCAACTTATAGGCACTCGAGCTCTTGAAGTTCAACTGGGTCCTCCCCGCCCACCTGGCCCCTCAACACTCACATGTCCTGCAGCTAGGGGATCCGGGCGCCGGCGCGCTGCGGGCTGTGGGATGCGGGCTGGCCGGGCTCCGCCGAGTAGCACTGGGGCGCGGTTGGAGGAGCGCTGCAGGCGCTGGGCGGCCGACCGGACGCGGGCTGGCTATTCTGGCCGCACCGGGCGGAGGTCGGGCTGGTAATGTAGCCTGTGCCCCAGGTAACGCGCCGATTGCATTAACCCAGCTCCCAGCCCGCTCGGTCTGGAGCCTGTTAGCGCTAATGGAGACTGACAGCGCAGCCGGGCATGGGCAGGGGCGGGGGCGCGGCGCAGGCTCCTGGGCGGCGGGGCCGGGCTCCCCGGGACTCCGGGGACCCGAGGGACCCGGGTGCTTACTTTTTCTAACTGTCCTGATCCGGAGTAGCACACAACCCTCCTACAGTCACCAGACTCTGACTTCTGACTAAAGGAACAGAGCCATAGATTCCCAGAACTGGGATCCGAGTCCCATCAGAGAGGGACTGCAAAGGGACCAGAGAAGCAGAGAGCCAGGAGCACCAGCGCTGTCATTTGCTGTCATCACCAGCGCTGTCAGGCCACTTAAGCTACCTAATCAGAGTCCATCAACAAAATGGGAATGTTTTGCTGGGTTCCCAAGACTGCAAACTGGTGCTCCCCCAAGCCACTGGGCACTTATTGTCTATTTTGTTTTGTTTTGTTTTTCTGGTTCGAGGTGCCCAAAGGTCACAGCCCAGTATTTCCCTCCCACGTCTCTGTTATGAGCAGCTAGTAAAATGAGATTATGACCCCTGTCCTATAAGGCTGGGAACTGATCATCTACTTACTCATTCATTTGTTTCTTCACCCATTTGTTTTTACATCCACCTCCTATGTGGCAGGCTAGGGTCTGGAGTCCCACGAGTGGACAATACCCTCAGATAATCCTGACAACATAGTTTTCATTCGGCTGGGGAGGGCAGGCGAAAACAGGAAACATAATAAATATATACATTATATGGTAGCTGAGGAAGTACTCTGTGCCATGGGAAAAAAGTAAAGCACAGTAAGGAAGGAGGGGATGGGGTTTCAATTTGAATAAGGGGTGAAAGAATTTGAAATGTAACATTTAAATATGCAGAAGCCTGAGTCACTTGGACTTAGTGCTTGTTACCTCGCTGGTTGCCTTATCCATTGATCAATTTACCACCCATCAGGCAGAGTCTGATCACCTGCTCCATGCCGGTACAGAGCCACTAGTGAAGCTGAGGGGTGGGCTCTCTGCCATCCAGGAGTGCCCAGTCCAGGGCGTAGAGTTGCACAGACCTTTGTCGTCAGGTTGTGCCCACAGGAGCATGGGAGTGAGGTCCAGTTAAATCAGCATGGAATGGGTAACAGTTTGCGTAAGCTCAACCACAGTGATTTTTCCACCTTTCTATTTGCTGTTTCCTCTGCCTGAGAAGCTCAGGTCTCAGTCCAGAGGTCCTTTCTCAATTTCTCTAATGTAAAATACACCTTCACTTTCTATCACACCCCTCTATTTTATCCCTTCATTACATCACTACCCAAATTTACTTGTCTGTTTTACGTCTCTCCTTCTGCAGCATATGAGCTCTATGAGAGGAGAGACCCTTCTGTCCTACCTGCCACTGTGTTCCTAGCACCTGGAACCTGCCAGGGCATCAATTAGTGATGAGATGAATCACTAGTGAGTGGATGAAGCATGAGGGTGTTTACGGCACTTTCAACAGTGAAACCAGCATGACAGATGTCCTCTGGGTGGGATGCAGAAAGGAGAGGAAGAGAAACATGGAGATGACTGTTTTGGCCTTCTGGGGACTGGCAATGTGAGGTGGGATGCCAGGGGAAAGATGGAGCAGAGGTTTTAGGACAAGAACTGGAATCAGAAGTTTCTATTCCTTTTCTTGGGATTATAGATCATTGTGACAAGCCTGTGAGGAAAGAATGCATGGGATCATCTTTCCATTTTTTTTTTTTCGGTTCAGGACACTGGTTCTGAGGGTTTGAGGGATCTGTCTGAGGTCTCACCATTTGGAAGTGGAAGAACTGAAATGAGGACCCAGGTCATCTTGCTTCGAGCATTTGCCCCCTTCACCAACTTACGGATGGAGACCCTCAGAATCTCTCTAGGAGCCATATTCCCTTCTCTCTACCCTATGTCTTGTCTAACTGGTCACCAAGTCCTAGGAAATCCACGTCCTAAATGACCTGTAAAACTCCAGTATTCCCACTGCACCCCACACAAAATATCCCGTCACCTTTCCTTGCACCAGCCTCCTTACTGTTCATGCCACGTCTGGTATCTTCCCAGCCACAGAATCAAAGCCAGCTTTTTAAAATTCAAGTCTGACCACCAGACTTCCCTGCCCAAAACTCCTCTGGGACACAGCAACACATCACCATGATTTAATTAGGCCTGGATTTGAGGTGGTTTTATTTTATTCTTTATGCCTCTTTCTATATGCCAACTTTTCTACAATGACCATTTGATACTTACACAGCCAAAAAACATAACCTACAATTGTTTAAAATCCTCTAATCTTTCCAAGACAATATCTAAACACCTTCAGCATTACAGGCAAGAATCTGCCCATCTATTCAATTATATCTATTCACATTCTAATTCTTTTCTCATTTTCCCTAAACATTTTACCACCTCCAAAATTTGCTTTATTTTATAGCAATGTCGGAGATACTAAACTACTCGTAGTTCCCTGAACCTTATGCTTATACTTTTGCACACCACTGGATTTTTAAATATGCTCTTTCTATCTTGTTATCTACTTGGAAAACTCCCATTCATCTTCCAAAACCTTCCATGTCACTTCGGCTGTGCAGTCTTCCCTGATTACCACCTCTCAGGACAGTCACATCCTATTTTACATTGGTTGTGTATTTGCCTGATACAGTTTTATGTATGGCTTCCCTGCTAGGGACAAGAGCAGTGCCTGATATATTCTGTTACATAGAAAGAATGCCAGAAATATATACAAAATAGAACTAGAAGATATATCATTCTTTGGTTGGGTTTGTTGTCTATGCTTGAGATTGTTTTATATTTGATTTCTACAGAAGCAGAACCTGAAATAAAGATTTAAATGCAAGTAGTTTATTTTGGAAATAATCACTGAGAGCACTGGACAGAAGTGAGGGAATGAGACAGGAAAGGTAAAAAAACTGATAGAGGGTTAATTAAGGAGCAGTTACTGCTGTGGGCAAGTGGTGTGCATGCTGCTGCGCCCTCTGAGGCACAGAGCAAGGCTCAACTTGGCTCAATCGAGGGCAAGGAGGCAAAGTGTTTATCCATTAAGGCCATTCCTGAGGTGCCAGCTGTGCAGCATCATAGGCTGCCTGATATGGAGTGGGGATGTTCCATGAAAAAGGAGAAAGGCTTCCAGCAGAGTTCAAGGACTGATAGCAGGAAGCCTTTGGGTTGTGGCAGGCAGTGGGTGATGAAGGTGTGAGCAGCACCTTGGATGCATTTGCTGCAGGGGCAGAGTGAGGCTTGTCTCCCCTCAGCATGGACACCATTAGAGGACCAATCAGCATGACCTTGGAGTCCCCCTGTGACTTCAGAAATATCAGAGGGTAAGCAGTGAGGACACCAGCCTGGGGCTTGGCTGAAGAGCAAGGTGTCTCTTCCATGTCCGGCCCAGACTCTGTGCTTATGGCTCCAAGAGCCATGGGGCCATGTGGCTTCTCTCGGTGCCCTGTATCCTGCCCATGCAGGTGGCCGGAGGGCAAATGGTGGGCAGGAGACTAGAGCATTATCAGAGCTAACATGGTCTCTGGGGAGGCGTCATTTCCACTTACCGTGGCACTTGGTGACACAGGCCATGGGATGCAAGGCAAAGGCTGGTGCTGTTAGTCCAGCTCTGGCCACTTTTATGCAGACACCAGGGCCTTGAAACACACAGGCTGGGCTGGGTCCTGAGGGCACTATCAGAACCTTCTCCTCCACTGCACCAGTGAGAAAACCAAGAAAGACAAGTTTTTCTGTCTCTTTCTCTCTCTCTCTCTCTCTCTCTCTCTCTCTCTGCTTCTCTCCCTCTGTTTTATTGCAGCTGACCTGTCCTGTGGTCATTGGTCACTGATCTAAGCTATATTTTTTAAAAATGTAAAAATCCCTTTAATACAAGACCCCCATGACCTGAAATCAGTCTCCTTCAGGACACTTGCCAGTAATATCCCCAAGGATCTTAGAAGCTTCGACATACCCAGATGTGGCTCAGTCCTTAAAGTTTTCCCTATGAAGTTCCTAATCCAACCAACATCACTGAGGCACTGGTATTTTTAAAGATCATCTAACCCTTGATAATTTTCAGATTTACATCTTCTGCATGGACCTCCCTCCCAAATCCCACGAGCCTTTATCCAACTACAGATTGGACATCTCTACATGGATAATAAAAGGCACGTGAAGTTGGCTGTGTCCAAAACAGAAAGCCTCTCCCTGATTATACACAAGCCTGCTCCCTCCT